TTAAGAATTTATTTGTATGTTACTAGAATTGCGAAATCAGCTGATGGTTCATTTGACGGTAAATGAACATGAACAGCGCTACGGACATCATGTTGTCTGGTTATACCTCGTGCGTTATTATTCGGCTAATAAGTCATGCCTCACTTTCTGTAATTTCACTACCTAATTGCACCCTACCACCGAAACAACATTAATTAAGTAAGCTGGAAGCTGATATAAGTGAGACTGAGATACCCACGGAGACGACTTTTTATAGTTCTGTTAAAGAAATAATGATACGGCCGAACTTTATAATTGCATGAACTGATTAGGTCGACCGATTAGTGCGTTGACATGCGTCATGTGGTGAACTAAACTAGCCCATTCTTTTTCCCTATTATGTAAGCTACAATTGCATATCAAGTAATTTCTCACAGATATGACATTCTTTTGTTTCTTCCTTGTTTCTTCCTTGCGTTACTTTCGTCAAACGCCTAACATAGCGTTTTTTATATCGTATTGATTCATATCAAATATAGGACTGTGTAATCAAGCATTTTATTAAGAATATGTATTGGTTCCGTTAGCTGTTTACCATGGCTATAATCTTACTAATATTATAAACGCAAAAGTCTGTGACTATGGATGGATAGATGGATATTTGGATATTTGTTACATTTTCACACAAAAACTACTGAATGGATTTTATGGAAACTGTACATTAATGTAGCTTATACATCAGAATAACACATAGGCTATAAAATTCATGTCGATGAAACCGCGGCCACTCTAAGTGGGACCAATTGGTCATCCATCTGGGTATAAGAATAAGCATGCTGCCACTCCAAAGCATAGTTTTCCCTTGCGCAATAGTCGGTGACACCAGCCAAATGGGTCGTGTCGTATGTGAAGCTTAATTGTTTAGAATGAAAGAGACAATCCGCTTTCGTATACACAATAACGAGTCATTAATTACGTTTTAATTACAATATCTGGCCTAAATATTTTTTAACATCAGCATAAAGTAGTGTTTGTCTAATTGCCGAGGTTTTTATTTGAACATTAACAACAGCAATGATAAAAATATAATTGGATACTTATAGATTTACATTTCCTAAGTCACGTTTGGTAGCATGTATTTCGGATTGCATTTCATTTAGCACTTATTTCGTAAATTATATGTAGGCAATAGCTATAAATATATCAACTGACTCATCATCATTCATTCTTAATTACTAATGATGAACCCTAATACTTGTACTTTTGGAAAAATCATCAGAACCTTTTCGGGTTCGAAAAATCAACTTTTAATTTTTATACTAATTCTAAGAAGACAGCATAAAATTACGCTATACATAAATTAGACCTTTTTATATCTACCCGACGTAATATATTCTAAAATTGAATTTGCTCTTAAACAACTAGTTTAGATATGTCAAATGTACAAACACAATTACTCTGACAAAACAAATCTATTTACAGATTCTATTTTATCAAAATTAGCCAATCTCTTAAAAATATCGTAGAAATTAGACAACTAATTTATTATTAAATTTTGGCCATAAACTTGCCGATGAATGATAGATGTTTTTGTTACTATTTCTCATGGTTCAGAGTCCACACCGGAATTCGAATGTCCAGCAGTAACCGCTTTTGGAAGCTTTGATGTATTAGTAATAATATTGGTCGATCATTTAATAAACTCCTTGCATAAACAAACAGGCAATTTATTTCGAAGTTTAATAACTTACGTCTCTCGCATAGTTTATTTATAAATAGGTAAACCATAGCGGAGTTGAGCCAAGACCCTGGAAGCATCTCGTCGTAAACTCAAATGTTTATTAGATCATAGATTAAACAGTGTTAGTATGATATCAATATGTAATTCGTCATTAGAATTTACTTACATAGACTACTACTTAAATATGCATCTACTGTCGACCTCATGTCATCTAGAGTACCTACGTTATGTATAGTATGACTAGCAATATCGGACACCGTATACATTTTTTGCACCACTACCAAACTGAAGTTTCCTAAATCATGCTATTAATATAAAAATTATTTAGTGTTTGAGTACATCGTATTGAACTTAAAATATCAAACAAAACCTGTAAAATGTAAAGTGTTTATTGAATTACTCGAACAATGCTTAAAGATATTTATAAATATTTCTCAAGCAGCAACGAAATAAGACTAATCAAAATACACAATCTGTCTGTTATATAGTTTCTTTACAGGAATTCAGCTCCATCCATCAGTACTTGCAGATTGCTTTTTTTGGAATAATTTGATATTGTGTTTTAAACAGTTTTACAAGATTTATTTAATAAATATGGATTACCTGAGGGATACAATTCGAAGTCGTGTGTTTATGCTTAGGGTAAGTCGTTCTGCTACGTATTTCTAACTATAGCAGATTTGAGTGGCATTCCGGTTTAAAAAGTAGTGAAATTGAATGGTAGAAATAGAGGTATTTGTTCGTATTCATGAGAAATAGAAACGCATGAAGAATAAGATATACAATTTATACTCTTGTCATATGTATATTTCATTGCTGACTTAACTCTTATTCCATTTCCTCCCGTTTCTTTCACTTTTTGGAAATGTAAATAGATTGTCAGTTTAATAATAACGGAAATTACTAGTCCCTTCAGAAAACTTGGATCCCCAGTTTTCTACCAACTTAATTAGTCTTGTTTGACTGGCCAGTAGCTTCAGTTTTTACGGAAACTGGAAAGCTAAACTTTTCAACGCTAAATTGCTTGATTATTCAATTATATTCATCATAAACTATATGCTTTTCTCTTCTAATACAATTTTCATTTAGTTTTTCTTTTCTCGTTGATTATTATATCTCATTTATATTATTAATTAACTATAGTGGGTACTTGATGACTATCATGCTTCATAATATACTTCCCTGTAGAAAAGATTTAAAATAATTATGTAAATAATAATATGCATATGTGTATTCTAATTTAATTTATTAAATTAATCAAAGTAATAAATATGAAACATTTAGCGGCAAATATCTTGAATAAAATAATAAACAATAAAGCTTGCACAAGCCGTAGTATTCAAATTATTTATCAATATCTATATACATTTCAATTTTATTCTGCAAATTTACACAAAATAAGAGATAATCTTTGTTGAATCTTTGTTTCTTTTGTTATATGTATGTACCTTATCTTTTCTCTTGGAGTAAAAGACAACATTCTTTAATTGGCTTATAATTTTCTCTATTACGAGTTAATAGATATAATATACGTATGAACCCGCTTGGGCATATACGAATAGCATTGTCTTAATCTGTCTATCCATAAACAACAATGGACTAAGAAAAAATAAATATTTTTATCGGAAGTATCATAAGATAGGTACATATTATAAACGTGGATGTTTATAAAAGATGATTATTACTTAATCCATTTTTAAACTGCTGTATATATATTATTATTAAATTTAGAATACACAATACATAAGTTTATAACTCGAGTAGATTACTTTTATATAAATTCAGAAGGGCATAGTAACGGATAACATATTACATGAAATTTAAATATGTAAATACGATTTTCTATAATATGGAATATACAGTTACATGGAAAGACAATATAAAATAGTTTATATAGGCATCTGAATAAACTTATTGATCGATTTAACAGCATTATTCAAACTGGCGATAAGTACTCAATTAAACTTCCATTCTCTTCAAAAGAAAAAAGCCGATGAATGTGCTTAAAGATATTTAAAAATCTAGAGCACTCGTACGAAGTATGTCATGATAGAAGTGATGTACTGTGGTTTTAGTTTATGAGGAAGTTTAAATCGAAATTAGATGAAAGATTAAATGCAATAAAGATAAATGGTCTGACTTGTCTACCATCGCTAGATACGGGTAGAACAAAAACTACGCAGTTTGAGTAGTTTCTAGAAGATTGAAGTTTAGTTTGTGTGACATTCATTACTATTTTTTTTAAATACACAGCAATGGGATATAACGGTATCAGCACAAGAGAAATTCTGAATATTTTCGTAGTTCCTATCATAACAGTGAACAACTATATCTCGCCGTTTAGCGACACGAATTATTTATTATATTAATAATTACAGAAGTCTCTCTCAATGAAAGTTTACACCACTTGAATCTGTAACACGTTGATTTTGTTGATGCAGTAATTAATGAGAAAGCTTTGTCATAACTAGGCTTCCAATTAAATCTAGAGAGAGATAAGCAATATTTGCAATTTTATATAAGAAGTCTCATGTGTATTGGAAGATTTATAATTCATATTTCACATCAATTAAATAATATAGTTAATGTACATTTTGAGGTTATGATGTACTATGAATTTTTTTATACGTAGATGTAACAAGTATATTTGTCCATTTCAACATTTTTAGGTACTTACATGTATCTATTATTTTAGTAAAAAATATTAATAGCAACATAGGTGTTGCTATTATTATTATTTACTAAAATTATATATATTAGTATTAGACAATTATAAAGTAATGTTTTAATATATCACTTTGTCATATTCTAAAGAAATTAATTATATTAATGATAGTAAACAATAGGTACTCATTAATGTACTAGAACAAACAAAATAGTTAATTTTATGTTACTGATGTTTATCTAGCTTTCTTCTCTTCACCTTTTCTTCAGACTCAACTTGTTTTTTTACGTATACAAAAACATATTTATCAACATAATTCAAGTTGTTCCCTTGTTTATATTTTGACGATTCGTACAATCTTATCCTGAATGAGATAAGTATATAAATAAAGTTTAGAGCTAGTAAAACTAATTACAGAGGAAGAAAGACAAGCAGGCATCGTCTCCATCGATACAGCAAAAAGTAAGAAATATATATTTATAAACAAAATTACTTATCTAATCAAGCGAAATTTTAAACCGCTTAATGTTTATAACATATAAAAGCGGTCCAACTACAGTCACACAGCAATAACCTAATTAAAATAAAATGTAAATTGAAGGTACCGGACCTTACCTCTCGCACCATTTCCTTGGTTGACCGGGGATCCGTTCACTTTGATCGGTCTTCCGTCTGCACTGCATTTTAATAACATATTTTTATCATACACTCACTTATTCTGATCCTTTGAGCATTTCTAAGCGAAAAAACTAAGAACTACTCGTAACGATAACCAAAACATGCCAGTTATTTTCTACCTAAAGTTATATTCTTCTTTCGCGCCAACTGATTGGTCGCCACTTGTGACGTCAAAAGTCAATTTGAAACCACTCTAATGGACACAATAAAACTTGCAAAATTTCAGTCTTTTTTTCATCTGTATCACTTGTTGTCAGCTATAAAGCTGTTCACTGAACACAATTACCACATAAAATAATATTTTTATTGGTTTACTTCAAATTTTACATAGTAAACCGACGCATGTGAATCCATCTACAACACTAACTGAGCAACAGGCTGACATGACCGATTACATTACAATGAAACTGCGGCGAAATGCGACGTAGTGATGTTTTGATTAGCTATGAAGCGAGATGCGAGAATTCGAGAAATAAATTTATGAATGAAATAAACATGAAGTTCGTCCGAGTTGGAAGAAGAAAAAATCGTTATTATATTAAATTATATCCTGATTTCTATGTATTGGGATTTTTTGTAAATTAATAAATCGAGATTGCATCAATTTTGGTATTAAATTACTTTAATAAATTAATCGTATTTTGGAGTTTTTTTTCGTATTACCTGTCATTTTATTTACTATATTAGTTTAATTATTTATCCACATTAAATATTAAAAAACAATATATTTACAAAATATTAACGCCCTTTGCTGTGTTTATTCTAGCATTTGATAGTTCACGGACGGAGCTCATACCACAGTCAAATTATGTAAATAATTACTATGTTTTTAATTATAAATTAGAAATCGTGTTTCAGAAATAGTAATTAATTCTAAACAAATAAGAGAAAAATATATCACAATTTGTCCCTATAGATGGCGCCATTATATTATAATGCTGAGGAACTAAATTTTAAATTAGAGAAGTATTAGATGAATTAAAGAAAAATGAGAAATAGGTAAGTATGCATCGTCATTCCTACGAGCCCAAAACACTTCACCATTGTCATTACTATTATTATTCTAGTGAATTAGAATCTACCGCGCGTATATGTCATCCGTATCATGAGCATTTTGATGTTTAGTCCTGGCAATACTTGTCAAAAAAAGACGTCTGTCGAATTCGCCGGTTGGCTAGTCGCCGGTTTAGCGCCTCTGCCCGCCATATTTACAATATTATACTATCGGCCATAGTAGTGCCGGCGCCATTTTGATAAATTTAGAACGAGAGCGTCCTATCGCTGTAAAATAAATAGAATAAAATTACAAAATAAATACATTAAAGAAAATGGGGAAGAAAGATAAAAAAGGAGAAACGACTGAGGGTTCTAGTGAAGAAGAGTATGTCGTGGAGAAAGTGCTCGATAAACGAACTGTCAAGGGAAAGGTTAGTATAAATATTGGAATTATTTTATTATCTTGTTTCTGAATCATATAAACTTAAATTTGTATCATAATTACATCATTCATTATATGTAGTTAATAAAAAGGCTGTGAAATAAACGATAAAATTATATTTAAAATAATGTCTGTTGACATAGTCATGGTAAATATGTTATAATTTGGGTCAGCGCTTTCGTAGAATTTTTTAAAGATACCTATGCCGTTAGAAAGTAATAACCTGTAACGGTTTACTCTGTAATTATCCCAAATGTTCTACAGATTTGACTTTTTTACTTGTATCAAATTTATGTAATAATAACCATCCAGTAATGTTAATGAGTGTCTCAATATCTTTGTGAATATTGTGCTTAGCTCTTACATGCGTATATATAGGTACTGCGTATGCCAATATCTATATATTGTCGATTTTCAGGAAAGTCTTAACATGTAGGCTTTTGCATAGTCTTTAGAGTATCCTTGTGAAATTAAGTTTCTGGGCTTTAACCACATGTAGCCTCTTTAACCGCTGTGATGTAGTATTACATATTTAAAAAATCTATTTTTTGTAACCTGAATAACATCACTGAGTTAATACTCATTACACAAAATTTATAGAGAACTAGTGATTCCACTCGGTTTCATATGGATTTAATTATTATAGCCATTACTTAACATATTTTTGTTTTATTCTGCTACCATTAGTATTGCTATTCAGTATAGAAACCTGAACACCACTAGTGGAAGTGTTACAATCTTCTCTATTAGTGAGAAAATTCTGACTATTGATCTACATTTCGTCGATTAAATAGAAAAATACCATTTTTAAAATTAAGAAGTAGAAGAAGCTAGAATTGCCTCCTTTTTTATAAGTCAATTAAATTAATCACTGCGTCTTAATCATTATCTAAATACTTTTAAACCTATATAACTTCTGTGGAAATTTAAAACTTTAAAGAAAAAAATTATTTAAAAAATTTTAAAATTTAAATGCTTGTCTACAAGACAAGACAAAAATATACATTTTGAATACTGACATTTTTCTATTTAATCTACAATTTGTTAATGTTCAATAGTTACATGTGTTTCACCTCAGAACGAGGGATTAGTAGGCAATTAGTAGAGCTTAGATAGCTTGGAAGCTAAGAGTTGACTGTTGGGCAACCAGATTTCTAAATATGTGTAAATTTTTTTTTTTTTTATATCATGCAATCAGTCTTCCAGACTATAAGCAGATTTGTTGACTATCTGATATCGTGAGAGGTGATTCTCCATTGAGAATCCAGCCTCAGATATTCCAGCTTATGCCAGGTTGTTGAAGTCTGGTATTTTACGTCTCTTAAGTTGTGCCATATAATCAGGCAATGTCAGTTGAACAGCAAGTTTATTTGGATGTCTGTCCAGCTTGATTTTATATTTTTTTATTGTTTGAGAGATTTCCTCCTTGACAGAGTTGTCAAATATGTGTAAATATGTTGTAATTTTCTATAGTTTGTGTGTTGAGTTTACCCACTTTTTTATTAACAAATTTCTATATCTAGAAACTCATATGCAACCTTTAGAGATCTATTACACATGCCCTGTTTCAGGGTGCTAGTTAAAAAATGATGTATAATAATATTTTTAACAGCAATTATTTGTTTAAGGTGTTATTTCTTGTGTAGAATATACATTCTAGAAGATATGTTTTGTTTTCATCTTAGCAAACTGTAGTTAGATGATAGATAGATAAATTGATAAATTATTTATTCACAATTACAGATACATAACATACATAAGATACAGAAAAAACTTAATTCATGTTTTTCTAATAAAAGAAATGTAGGTGGCTTTATGTGCCGCAAAAGTGAAAAGGTAGCCAACTCAGCATAATGCTACAGATAACTCTGCAACGCTGATATTCTGTTGGCTCCTTACTTATACTATACTTATTACTAAAAAAATTACATAAATATTAAACTTCGAGCTCTTTAGATGAATGAACTTTATCTTTAGAATAATGTGATTAATTATGTTATTAAATTACTTATACTACATTAATACTATAACAAGGATTACACATATTAATATGGTGATAGGGACCTATGTTTGCCATGTTGTTATTTTATTTGGAGTGTTCAGTTAGGGAACTAGTTTTTTATTTATTGTAATTGATGTTAATGGAATGGTGCGCCCATCAGTGCTAACAGTTTACACTGAAAATGGGGCACCAGTGGAGGGTTATAAAGTGAACATGAGGTCAGGTCAGTTTCTTCCAGTGGAAACCGCTTGGATGTCAATGCTGACATGGTACATTGCTATGCGATGGAGTTTTTAATCTAAATTACTAAGTCCTCTTCCCCTCTGATGAATATGTTATTTTTACTCAGTTCCTCCCACAGTACATACATTTGTATTCATAAGTGTGATTCTTTGTATCATTTTGGGTGTTTTATATGTATATTATGTCTTTACAGTAAAGATAGTATTTATATCAGTTGTCTAATATCTATAACACACACTCTGATTAGCTTGAGAATGAATGGCATTGTGTGAATTACCTAAGACTATGATTATTATTTCATTTATGATCAGTCAGTGCATCTAATATTATTTGATATGAATAAGGGTTATTTTGCAGGTGCAATACTTATTGAAATGGAAGGGGTACAAAGAAGAGGAAAGCACATGGGAGCCGGAAGAGAACCTTGACTGTGAGGAACTGATAAAAACATTTGAGGATAATCGGAAGGAAAAAGAAGTTAGTATAGTATACTATTAAACTAGTATATATTACTAACCTGTAAAATTAATTTTGAAACTTTCACATTTTATTGATATAGTTAAATTGGTTATAACACAAATAATGTAATGGTATAAAATTATTCCTGAAATTGTTAGTGTTAAAACCCATTTAACTGTATTAACCTGTAAAATTAAACTAATATTTAATACTAACAGTGCTTAATTACTGCCTCTTAAATATATTCAAAAGTCAAAACCTGTTATAAATATTTAATTAATCTGTAATAAAAACAATTTTTGTAAAATCTGTTCTACTAAAGTTAAGATGGTTCTGTAAGGGATAACAATGGATGTCATAGGGACTAAATATATCAGAGAAAGTAAGAAAGTAGCACCAGTGTCAGAGAAGTAGAAGATTAAACATGTGTATTGGTTTGGGCATGTAATGAATTGGAATGAAGAAGAATATTGTAAAGAAAGTTTTATATATGAAAGTGGTTAATAAGGGCAGAGGAATGCCAAAAGAGATGGATGTGTGAAAGATGATATGGGAAGAAATGCAATAACAAGATGAATCCAAACAGGTACTAATTGAAGGGAAACAATACTCTGAATGGTTATAAGGGCAGAGGAATGCGGAAAGAGATGGATGGACTGTGTGAAAGATGATATGGCAAGAAATGGAATAATTTGATAAATTTGGATTTTTGAAGATTTTATATAGCAATTTTGCATTTAATATTAATCATGTTAAGTTTTAATAACACAAAGATGACTATAATATACATGGAATAACAAGATGTTATTAAACAGAATAACAAATTGAAGTTATATACATATATTACTCCATGGATGGACAATCCACACAGGAATCTAGTCCCAACCTAGAGAGATGGATGGGTGAGAAACTGATTTAAGAAATGTATATATATATTTTGAATCCAAACATACATAATATACATATATTACATCCAGGATGGGTACAATCTCATTGAATCAAATGTTGGATGGACTGTGTGAAAGATGATATGGCAAGAGATGGAATAACGAGATGACTCCGAACAGGCTATGTTATTGTGAAAATATATATGTGTGTGAAATTAAATAATGAAATATTGTGTTGTAAGAAGTTGAATTTTCTTCTTTTACAATATTACTGTATATTTGGATTTTTTGTATTTTATATAGCAATTTTGCATTTAATATTAATCATGTTAAGTTTTAATAACACATTACTATAATATACATTGATAACTACAGTGATCTGTTATTAATACGAATAACAGATTACTGTAGTTATATACGAGTTATTATACGAACCCAGGACAATCCACACAGCGCCATCTAGTCCCAACCTAACCAGAGCTTATGTTATGGGTGCTAGACAACTGATTTAAATACTTTATGTATATATATATTTTGTAAATACATACATAATATACATATGAAACATCCAGACCAATACAATCTCATTGATGCAAATGTTTGTACTGTGGGAATGAACCCGCACTAAGGTAATGTGCTTACGGCCACCGAGGCTCTGTTATTGTGTTAATATATATGTGTGTTGAAATTAAATAATTGTTATATTGTGTTGTATATATATATATATATATATACAATATTGTGGTTGTATCGTTTTTGTGGATAAGAGGCGCTTTTCTATAGTAGTTAATGTTAGAAGATATTATTACGCAAGTATTAATAAGAATTATTCTTATATTACAGAAAAATAAGAAACCTGAAGAACGCACTAAGAAACGTACGCGCGAGTCGAGCGAGGAAACGAGCAGCCTGACACGAAAAGGGCGCGCCACCAGCGTGTCCTCTATCGACGAGCACAAGGAGAAGAAGGAGAAGAAAGATGACAAGTCAAAGTCTGGATTTGATAAAGGATTGAAAGCAGAGAAGATTATAGGCAAGTAGATTTACCATACAGCAATAGGTTGTTGGTACAGAGCAAACCTATAATATTTAAAAAAAATATAGGCAGTATTATTGAGTTATCGATACCAAGGTTACTATCGACTAGCTGTTACCTCGACTTCACGTGGAAATAAACGAGTCTCTTCAAAATCAGGTTAGAGATAAACAATAACAGAGAGATTTATAGGTGACTGTTGATGGTTGAAATTGTCAACTTGTCATTATCTATCTATACATATAAATAAAATTGGAGTGTCTCGTTGTAATATTGAAATAACCGTTTTTTACTACATGCATATGAATATAAATACGGTACATACACCAAAATAACATTTTTTATAATTTTTGTCAATCTATCTGTCTTTTTTCCAGCTATTATATTTTATTATCTGAAATGACTGGGATTTTGATGGGACAATTTTGACAGGTAGCTTCCTTATTACATATAGGGAGTAACTTAAGCTACTTTTATTTTAGAAAAATAAAGATTATTACCACGCGGACTTAGTCGCGTGTAAAGCTAGTTATTCATGTATCAGGATCTAATTAATTAAATTAACTAATGGTAACCATTCTTATCATGTACGCATTAGAAATAATAATCTTAGAAAAATTCTATCTCTCATTATGTTTTGTAGTTTAGTTCTATTTACACTGAATTTATTACTTTTATTTACAGTAATATCTTTTTATTTTTTAATAGGGCCAAATTTTAAACAAATTGCCCACCACAATATTTATTCGCATTCACACATGCAAGTGAATTATATGAAGTTTATGTATATAACAATTGTTGTATTTGTTCACAGGCGCATCAGACGCGACTGGCGAGCTGATGTTTTTAATAAAATGGGCAGACTCAGATGAGGCTGAATTGGTGCCGGCCAAAGTTGCAAATGTCAAATGCCCACAGCAGGTATGGCAACACTGTCATCTGTATATCATTATAAATTGTTACCCAAATGCTTGTTCATGTATATAATAAAAATAACTGGACAATTCACACAGGGTCATTTAGTCCCAAGCTAAGCAGATCTTTTGTTATTATGGCAACACCATCATCATTATAAAATTTTACCCTAATGTTTGTTCATGTATATAGTAAAAATAAGCCTGGAAAATTCACATGGGGCCATCTCATCTAGTCCTAAGCCATGCATATTATGGGAACTAGACATTATATAAATACTTTTTTAATATATATGTAATATACATGGAAAATCTACCAGACCAATAGAAAACACTCATATCGGTGAACACAAGTGTTTGCATCTGGCAAAGAATCGAACCTGCAATCATCACAATTATGTTGGTGTGCTAAACTGCTAAAGCACACAGGTTACATATTGTACTCGTATATCGACTGTTATCACTTATTATCAGGTGGTCTGTCAGTTTGTTTATCACTCTAATTATATACAAAAGTGAATGTTACTTAAAATACATTGAATTCATCGCCACACTTTGGAACCTAATGGTCTCGAACAGTGCGGTTTCAGAGGAACTACCTGCCAAGGTTTTCTCGAGAGACTACAGCATGGGAGTTTCAAGAGTATATTAAGGTTTCTTAAGGGTTGGCAACGTGACACTGGTTGTTACAAGCGTCTATAGGCTATGGCAACCATTTATTATAAGATAGGCTGTAGTTAGGCTAAAAAGGACTTGTATCCAGAGCCATAAAATATTAATAAAAAAAAGAAAAATAGATGGGCTGTATGCTTGTTGTCAACATCGTAGTATATAAAAAATACGTATATGTATACTTAATATATTTTTTATGGATGATAATGAAATGATGCACACGCCCGCGCTAACGATTCACGCTGGCGGGGCACCAGTGGAGGACGATAAAATGATTATGATGTCAGGTCAGTTAGCCTTTCGTGGTAAATTTACCATAAACCTATCTCGATGGTTTCCATGAGGAACCACATGGATTTCAACCTGATATGGTACATTGCAAGCAATGGGGATGTTGATCCTAACAATGACTTACTAACAATCCCTAATACTTTGCAACAACATTACCGTCCCTCGTGCTCACGGGTGGCCGCCACGGCATGTTTTAGCTGGGGCACTGGGCATGATTTAAATTTAAATTTATGTACAGTAGTTCATTCGCAGGTCCCTCGAAGAGATAATTACTCACACGTAATTAATCATAAAAAAAATCCAGACCCTATGTGAGAAATAAGATTCTTCAATGCGGTCTTCAACGTGTTAATATATATTGTTTATTGTACAGGTGATTGCATTTTACGAGGAAAGACTGACGTGGCACACGCCGGCGGAGACGGAGTGATGGTGGACGTAGGTTAAGGTTTAATTGAGGACTATGACGCAATATGGTTGAGCAGCCAATAGGCGCGCATTGTGAATACGCTATTCCTCCCAGTTCTCTGGTACCTGTATGTATATATACACTACAAATAGGAGTGCATTACTATGACAAAACGTAAATTACAAGTTGCAACTTATGTGTTAATAAGCAATATTACCATTCCGAAACGCTGAGATAATTGTTTTCTTATAATAAAGTACTCTATTCTCACTAGTAATAGGTTTTACTTTTAATTATGTCGGAATATTGTAAATTTTGATTATGTTGATAAAGGCTTGCGCAGGCCGAGGTAAGGCGGGCTCAGGAGAATACTTGTCACTACATCACATAATGTGCTGTAGGTACTGAAAGATTCATTCAGTAATAAACATGTTTTTTTATAGGAAAAAAAGTAATATTATGGGGCTCCAGACATTGTATGCAAATACCTTTTTATGCTGCTTTTCAGTCTCTTGATAAAAACTGTAATTTCAATTATTTGTGTTTTTAAATAATGTAATTATTTCACGAAATGTTAATTTGAATAATAATTATTGAGAAAACAAAACAGGTATTTATGGCATCTATAGATGTCAACTGTAATTAACATTTTGTGAAGTAAACAATGGAAGTAGATTGCGTAAAAGCAAATGTAAATATTTATGTCGATTTGTATGGTGTCTCACTCAGGCATAAACGAATCTCCTTTGGAAAGTATCCACATCATCCTCAGGAGATACAAACCATTGCTCCTAAGAATATCCTTCGGATTTTGTTCATAACTAGGTAGCGAATTTTCATAAGGGCGAGGACGATAGATCTATGCAGATCTATGATTTAAATATATGTATACAGAGAACGAAATAAATAATAGTTGGCGCTCGAGATGTGAAGTGTGGGTGACCGGTTAGGTGCTATCGGACCCCCAACTATGCTCGCGGACGATGTCCAAATACTTTTATTTATGAATCAATAATTATAATTGTCTATTCCATAGTTAGATAACCGTCATTTTGTAATGAAAAAGGCGCTAAAGTACGCACGATTGAAAGACGCGCGAATGGATGACCTGGCGGAGGGCGCGCCCTCTTACTGGTTCTCTTTGTTGTTTTCATTAACACAATCGTGATTCGCACGTTTACACGAGCACGTAAAGACAGATGTTGTCATTGATTCGGAATTTGCTTGCTTCCAGTCTGCGCAGGCCCTAATGTATGGTAACTATATTTTTGTCAGTCACATTTTGTTGTGCTGTTGTGTTTATTTATGAGAATTTGTGGGAATAGATACAATACAAACCCGGCTACTGGATTGTCCGTGGTAAAGTGTGACTATTAGTTGTCAGACCATTGAGGTATAAATTTATCATAAGTATCTAAAAATATATTTTTTCCTTGACGATTTTTTTGTTTTACTTCGCTTCTTGTGATTTTTCCTTTATTTATGTCTGAAGGGTATTCTCCAATACCTTTCTGGCAATGGAATGACCTCTGTTCAGTTAAGGTAAGGAGTAACAACGAAGGTAAGGAACTCTGGAAGTCCTCTTTTGCCTCGATTTCAAACTCCAGGTGTATCTACTCTCGGGTCAGTAGAATAACACTGTCCAAGCTATGTTTAATTTAACTATAGACATTAGCGATATCGAGTTTTACGGAGAAGGCCAGTCACGTAGTATTGTATCGTGCTACTGACCTTCAATAGCAGAATATAGGTAACTGTATCGACCATAGCGATATGCGAGATCTGAGAAGAAAGCATCTTAAATTCACAGAAAAATATGTTTAAAAATACTTTTTTTTGTACATAGATGATATTAATAAGTATGAAAAGTAAAACGACTATGTAAATGTATTTTATTAATTTATATACTTTATTATAATAAGTTTATTACATGTAGTTATTTAATTTACTCAAAGATCGGTAAAATTAAGTTTTTGAATAACATTAATTTCAATATAAGTTCACAAGGCAACAATTCAAATATAGAAGATATGTCACCAAGTATGCTGGATCTTACTTACCTAATAGGTACAAAACTTGTAAACAAAACTACATATATAATCGTAGTTTAATTACATTCGAAGTAATTAATAATCACTCGGATATAATCCGGTCGCGGCGCAAACTTGCAATGAATTATTCATGGTACATTCAGCTTCATAAATATTAGACTATTTACGTCTATTTCGTGCGCCTTTATCGCCTCTGATGGTTTATGCTTGTGGACAGGTTGTCCTACATAAATAAAATTATATGTAAGAACCAAATTCTCAATTTTATATTAGCATTATTTTTAATAAGAATATAAATTTTAATCAAACAATTATACTTAATTTTACAGAGAGATAGAAATAAATGTCTAGTAAAGTCATTTTAAACCTGTTGACGCTAAAACATAATGAAACTGACTGTACCCAGTATATATTATAAAATCTATAACACAAGAGATTAAAATTCACATGTTAATGAATATAGACACAAACTTAGTCTAAAATTATTTAAATATTTATAATAATTGTAATTTTTTCCCGATGTTAAGAACATTCGTAATCGAAATTATTACGATGGGTATAATCTGTATTTATCCTTCAGAGTTATATGTATATATTATGTATATTAATATATATATATGATGATGATTTCGCGTTAATAGTCTATATGTTATATATATATGTAACATATATACTGTTAGCGCGGGATCATCAGTCATAAAAAATCTCATTTGGTACGAGGACTTCCATTTACACTTAAAACATTACATTAAAAGTAGACTATAAAATATTGTTCATTAAATTCTAAACGTGTTGCTCGGTAGGTTTATTTTTAAATAAATTATCCGCTAATTTATTAATTACATGTCCCAAATGTATGTAAGATACATATTAATAATTTGAAAAATCTTAAATGATGATCTAAACATATGAATGTTCCATACATTCTCAGACTTTCGTAATTTATTTGCATGTAATAATATTTGATCATATGGTGTATCTCTCAACACTTACATAACAATCAAAGGATATTAGAAATTATGTGTTAATAATTTATAAAATACTGAAAATGATAAAATATAATCTAAATAAATTATTTAAGAGAATAATTTAGAGAGCAATTTGCACGTCATATCCCGTGCACAGATTTGCTAGTCAAAACTAGGCGCAGTTATAATGCGTTTACACTAGTCATTTCACACTGGAATATTTTATTTGCCGACCGAAAAAATTATGGTATAACACGTAAATAAAGCAAAAAATATTTATTCGATGTAAGAAAATTGTATACTAGAATAGTTATTAAAATTACATTTGTTAAAAACAAAATTACTTATTGAGATTTCTTGACAATTAACAACATATTTTAATACTTCGTAAGCCCTTACTCAATATTCGTAGTCCGCACGGATGCATTACAAATATATAAATTTCTCGGCTTGTTCTATATAATACGTATGTATTATACATATAAACTATATTATAACACAAATATATTACACATATAAACCTTCCTCTTGAATCACTTTATGTACTGTTGACGACTGCATAAAATTCGTGGCGTAATTTAATGGCCAATTTACATTCAGCCCGAGTGGGCAGGGAAGTGAGCAGCGCGAGAGTGGAAACACTTCCCATGCCATTGGCGCTGCCCGGCGCTCCCTCGATTGTCGGTTTTTCATGAGATAAAGAATGATATGAAACCTCCCTTTCGTATCACTCTTTCTAGTGCTGTGAACTGCATTAAAATCTGTTGCGTAAATTGAAAGATAGAAGCGAACAGACAGCTGTGCGACTTTGTTCTATATTATGTAAAGATAATGGCCAAATTTCTCAGAACGGTAAACAATTATCTAGTTGAGTCATAAGATTGACAATAACACACAAATATACTCAAATATAATAAATTAACTTACTACATATTACAACTACTACTGAGTATTCAATACTTTTATATTTGGTCGTTATAAGGATAAGGATAGTACGCTCACACATGGATGTAAGGTAATAGCGACTCTACGCGTCGGTTCTTAAGCTTGACATTTGTAATCATGTTTGCCGAGTCCATTTCTGAAAACAAAAACACAATTTCATTTTGATGATGTTGTTAGTTGTTTATACAAGACTAACTCAGCTCGCGGTTTCACCCGAATAAAATTTGTTGCCTGTATTATTTTGATGTGTAAACTTCATGATGTATAATACTGTAAGGTTTCATCCAAATCCGTTCCGTAGTTTTTACATGAAAGAGTAACATCTATCCTTTTCTTGCTTCTTCCTTATGATGAGACTGCATTCCTTATGAGTGGTGGAGTGGAGAATAAAAAAATGTGACTTTTTAAAAGTACTCATATTAAACTTATTTGAATAAAGAATATTTCTATTCTTATTTCTATTTCATCCATCCATGCGATGACGATATGGATGGCATATACCTCTATCCATGATTTCCACCATCGCAGTATAATAAAAAGCGAACAGTGATATTATCCCCACTCGTCCAATTCAAACAGGGATCGAAATTACGACGACCTGAAGCCCAGGTTCAAGCCTTTAGTGGAACCCTCAGGCTAAGTCGTATCCGTCAGGTGGGAGTTAGCCTTCAGCAGTTCCACAAGTCCTTCCGCGGGTTTGGAGTACCATCTGCACTCGCCCCCTATCATCCGCTGAAGCTGAAGGCCAGCCGCATACAACATACGAATAGTCCGAAAAAGTCTCATCCAGTTACATAAAAAAATATTTACGTCATTTAAATATCCAAATAAGAAGTAAGCTTACGTGAGGTGCGCGGCATGGGTGGCAGCAGAGGCGGAAGCGGAAGCGGACGCGGGCTGCACGAGCGGCGCGAGTCGCTCCGTGAACCGCGCGAAGTTGCGCTCCAACTCGCGCTGGTACTCGCGCTGGTCGCTGCCTATTAGGTTCTTGTTCTTTTTGAGCGCATCGTGACACCTATACATGTATAAAATTTGTTCAATTAAGGTAATATAGGCTCAGTTAATGAGAAATATATGTCGTAAAACTATATAGAATTATTATATAAATATATGTATAATGTGCAATAGATTTAATGTGATTCGGTTTACATTGTACATCCCAATTAAAAAATAATTATGAAATTATGTATGTAAAAAATTAAATATATATCAATAAAAAAATAATAAATAGATGGCGCTGTGTGAATTGTCATGGGTTATTATTCACTAGCTGTGCCCGCGACTTCATCCGCGTGGAATAAATGACGGCGAATTTCAATACAAACTTAATCGCATCCCTTATTTTATTTTCTTCCTTAAAATCTTTACAAACTTTGAATGTCATTTATTATTATTTTAAGGCATATTTTGTAGGCTGATAATTTTTATAGTGATTAAATATAAACAGTCTAAAAAATTAGTTTCAAGCTAGCTCTAGCTTTAAAAATGACGAAATGAAATACTTTTATTCAACCTTTCATATCCCACTTCAACCCTTTACAACCCTTTTTTCGCATTAAAAAGTAGCTTATGTGCTTTCTCAAGATCTAACCTATTTTTTTCCATTAAAAAGTAACCTTTCTCAAGATCTAACCTATCTGTGTGCCAAATTTCGCACAAATAGTCTAGACCCTAAGAAAATAAATTTTAAATCGGTTCAGTACTTTTCGCGTGAAAGAGTGACAGACAGACAGAGTTACTGTCGTATTTAAAATATTAGTAAGGAAGTAAGGATTAACGTACTTTTTGGAGAAATCTTTGAAGGCGAGTCTGAGTTTGTTGGTCAGCCGGGTCGGTGGCTGCGTGCCGTCAGCGACAGGCCCCAGAAATACCTGAAACGTTTAATACATATATATTAAAATATCGAGTATTCATCATGTACTTATAATATTAGTTCTACAGTGATCTACCGAGCTGTTCCATAAACCACAAGTTAACGCACTTTCTTTTTTTTTTAGTATCGTTTAGAAAAATATGATATGTTATCGCCAGTTCGGAGTGTACTTCGAACTAAGAAGTACTGACAAGAAATTCGGCTCGTATTCTTTTTAAATATTATTTACAATAATATAGATTCATTTTCAAATTAAAATCAAATTGGGAGAATAGAGTGACCACCAGAATATGTTATTGCAATGTTGTCAAAAGCAAATAATATAATCAATGTTCGTAAACCGAACAGACCAGTTCTCACAAAGTAAATTTAATTACACGAACTTTGTGATCTCTGTAATCTCTTATCAATGTCACGCTGTTGATTATGGATGGCCAATTAGTGAGTTATATCTAAAAATATAAAAACCTGAGCCAGTTCCAGTGGTCCCTGGTTGACGGTGGTCCCGATGCAGCCTTGAACGACCATCTGCAGGATTTTAGGGTCCGCTGGCTCTTGGTTGGTCGCGGCCGCTAGCTCGTTTATCTATTACAGCATATGTAGTTAACCATTAATAATAGATCTATATTATGAACAATGTAGCATAGTTATATGTAACTGTTACATTGGGGAAAAACCCTATGTAGTCTAATCCTTGCAATATAATTCATCATCACCTCAAATTTAAACGAAATTCGTTCAGCAGTATACTCGAGAAATGACAACAGATAGACAGGCATTCTCGCATTTACAAAACTGTATATTCTTTAATTGCTTAAAAAACTCGACTTTGACAATGCGTCAAATTTAATCAAATTTTATTTATCTGATAGAATACAGAAGGTGTACTTAGCAGCGCTACGTCTAGCGGGCCATTTGTGCGAATAGGAGTACCTCAAGGATCTATTCTTGGTCCATTCTTTTGTAATTTTTTTTGTGGTTCATTAATAGAATGCAACATGGCAACGGAAGAATATCGGGGTGGTGTAGGTGTGGTACCTTCTTCTGTATGTCCTCTATGGCGACCTCTAGCGGCGCGAGCACTAGCTGCGTGCGGTGCACGACGTGCAGGCGCGTCTTGAGGTAGGGGAAGTGGTGCGCGGTGGTGAGCACGGTCTTGCGCTTGCACTGCTCGCCCAGCGCACCGTGCGCGCGACCGCCCGCAGTGAACGGCGTCGCGAACATGAACCGCTCTGTTCGTAACCGTACACACACATACTTATATTTTGTTTCTTTGGTTAATATTGTAAGTTTCCTTAGGAGCAGTAAATAAGATTATTATTATTATATACTTATGTACCCGTTTGTCACACAAATATTTATGAATACAAATGTTTGTATTTTGCGAGGAATCGAACTCGCGACCATCGGAAATAATTCGGTGTTAAACTGTTACAACACCGATAGATTTAATGTATTGTTATAGAGTGTACTGACTTATGTTGTAGTTCCTCTCGTAGTGCGTGATGCGCCTGCGCAGCTCGTGCGGCTCGAAGTACGGCTCCACGTACGTGATCTGTATGTACGCCTTGTCCGGGTCAAGCGTGCTCACGTCCACTATGTTCGAGTCCTTGATGATCACCACGTTCTCCGCGCCGAACCGTTGTCCGTAGAAGTTCTGTACACAAGGAAATAGTTAGCAAACGAGTTGTACGATACATTTTCTACAAATCGCAAAGACACCGCGAGCGCGTGAATATTTTTTTAATTTGTATTTAATTGAATCTGTGTTTTTAAACAATCGCCGTACATTCTTTTGGTCCTTCGAGCCGGATTAAAAGAATGTTTTGATTGAATGAATTGATTTGATCTTCGTTAGTGAACTCGACGAATAATAAGGTCGTGTAAAACTGCTGACGATAAAATGTAGGTTGTATCGTACACGAGTAGCAGAGTAAATAAATCATAAATCACACAAAATGCATATAGTAAAATATCACTTTAGTTTTTCTACCATAAAATTACAATACCCTAAACTTTGATTTTGTAGAAATATATGAACTTCATTATATATATTTTTTGTACTTATATTGAAACCGATCATTATACCTTTGTATCAAGTGTAGTGTTTTGGTTTATGATACCCTTAGAACCTTGTAGGGTTTAAACATACCCAATAACGTTTGGAATTTGATCATCATTAGAGAAGGTCGTAACGGTAGTCATTCCCACACTGAATATTTGTGGTCTCACACATCACACGCTAATTGAAGCGGATTTAAACAAAATAATATAAATCCATTAAGTTAAGTTAACATTTCGACTAAATAAATATTATCTTCTCTATCACTTCCAATAGCTGACACAATATGTACAGACCTCGAGGCGGCTGAATATCTCCGGCAGCTTGGTGAGCGCGTGCTCCTTGTATATGAACTCCTCGCCGTCGAGATCTCCGAACCGGCCGCCGTAGAACGACACGCGGAAGTACGTGCCGAACACGCGCTTGCCGTGCAACTGCTCGATACGAGTGAACGCCTCGTTCAATTTACTGGAAAATTACATCAAAATACTGTAAAATAGCACTAGTTTCCTGTAAATTATCACCAACTAGCTGTGCTCTAAAATAACACTAGTTTCTTCGTATAAATTATCACCAACTACCTGTGTTAGCGGTTACACCTGCCACGTGAAATTTATAGCCTATGTGTTATTCCGATGTATAAACTATATTATAGATGTATGTACAGTTTCATTAAAATCCATTCAGTAGATTTTGTGTGAAACGCAGCTATCCAGCGATACTCACAAACTTTAGCGTTTATAATATTAGTAAGATAGCATAGTTCTAATTTAAACATTTCTTTCACTTCTTGCCTTGGAGTTAAGTTAATTTGTGCATAAATATGTGTGTCGGTCATCTCACTTGTGTATGTTGGCCAGTTTCTTGTAGTCGCGGTGCTCCTCAGCGATGGGTATGAGCACCTTGTACACCTCGTTCACGGCCTCGTACATGCCGGCCGTCATCAGCTCGCTGGCGGCGTGCTCCAGCAGAGCCTGCCCATATTGAACATATTACGTTCTTGTACATTATCCTACTACAGTACACGTAGTTTCAACCCTTCAGATCGATTCCCGGTCCAAATCAAACGGGAATCAAAATTACGACGGCCTGAGCCGAGGATCGAATTCCTAGCTGTGACTTCAGACTAAAGACGTATCTGTTAGGCAGGAGTTGATCTTCAGGGCACTATAAGTTCTTTTGCGGGTTTGGAGTTCCATCTGCACTCACGTCTCTATCGTCCGATGAAGCTGTAAAGGCCAGCTGCGGCTAACAGACTTAGGTAGTTGAGGAAGTGCAGCACGTCCGTACCTGCAGCTCGAGGTGCGTGAGGTGGTGGTGCAGGACGTCTGCGCAGCTCTCGTCGAGCGCGTTGTGGGTGACGTGCTGCAGTAGTGCTGCGCCCCGTCCGCCGGCCGCCAGTTGTTCTGCCACGAGCGCGGCTCCGTGCACCAGACACATGCCGGCTTCCGCGTGGTTCGACCGCTGCATAAACACACCACATCACTACCTCACTCAATCTCGAGATGCTAAAACTGGCATACTGACACACTTAGGATTCCCCTTTAAACCATTGTGGAAACCATTGTTAATTCCTGGTTATTTAATCACGTTGGGAAAACTGACCTGGCCCTATGCTCATCTCATCATCCTCCACTGGTGCTCACCAGCGTAAAACCGAGTACGCGGGTGCACCTTTCCATCATCACCCATGGAAAAAAAACACCTGACAATAGCCCAAAAACTCTCAAAAAAAATACCTCCATATGCTTCTGTGCCATATTGTTGAGCCAGGTGAGCCTCAGGTCGGGGCTGTGCTGGTAGCCGCGCGCGATACGGTGCATCAAGTCCATCAGCATCTCCGGGTCTTCCTGGAACTCCTTCATCTTCACCGTGTCGGACAGGATCATGTGCAGGTTGAATACGAGGTCCTTTACCTGGACATAAGTTTAATACACATGTGTTAACTGACTGTCTTGCTAAAATTATTTGTACAGAGTTATTTATTTATTACAATTAACACAACACCATCTAGTATCAAAACTTGTGTTATGGGTACTAGATAATAGATGTAAATACTTAGATATTTCTTTTTGTAAATACATACATAATATACATAGAAACAGCCAGACAATCATACTCATGAATACAAATGTTTGCACCATGCTTTATGATTGAAAATTGACGATAAACACTTTCAATCTTGTTTCATCTATTATGCAACTCGTTTTATAAGCTGATTCGGTACATGGCCGTAAATTTACAGAGTATCGAGGAAGCCTTATAGGGTAAGGTGCTGGAACAAGAAGCACATATCAATAAATGACGAGCATGATATGATCACTAGATGTTCGTCCTATAGTTAATGTACACTATATTACTGTAGTTTCCTTGAGCAAAACAAGAAACTCTTCCTGCAAACATTTAGAGTGTGGAGTGATCTATGGGACACAGTTACCTAGAAATAATAATTGCATTTAATGTCTAGTAAGACAAATTCTATATTGTTTAAACTACTGTGTCTAAACTGTGTCACCCCACCTTACATTTTGCTATTGTTATTTAGCATAAAAAAAAGCTTACTATAAAATTGAAGAATTCGTTAAAGATAATAATGTTTTTATAGAAAAACTTTAAATCTATAGCACTGACAATATTATCTGATTACATTAATAATGAGTGCGTAGCGACTTCTATGTTGATTATCGCATGCCTCTTACTTGTTATACTGTAATTATTTATATAAAAAAAACATATATTAAAAAGAGCAACACACAAGTTTCTTGCTCATTATTCTTGTGATGAATCTGCATTCCGAATGAGTGGTAGAATCAAAATATGACTATTCAAAAGTGCTTGTAATGAGTTTATTTGAATAAAGATTATTTCTATTTCTATTTCTATAAGATCATTATTTCTATGTAGATATTGTCAGTTTATTATCATCTGTAATATACATCGTCTCGACCAATAACATCGTATCATCACCTGCAACAATCTACCTGTTAAAGCCTGATAAATTTCTATAGCAAAACCTAACTATTATTAATATTACATTTTACAGAGGCGTTACACTGATTTATTTTTTTACTACCCGTTACAAAATTATATTCACTTAGTCACGAAACTTGCATACTTTAAAAGCTTATCGAAATACAAGGATATTTTATTACTTTTTGAGTATTTTTATTGTTCCACGTGTCTGTAAGGACACAAGGACACTACCTGCCGAAGTTTTGTCGAGAAACATGGGATTTTTCAAGAGTATACGTATTAAGGTTTCTTAAGGGATTCCTCTAGTGTTTCAGGCGTCCATAGGCTACGGTAACCGTTTACCATCAGATGGGCAATTTATAAATTAATACAGGTTATGACCATGCTTACTTGTTCAGGGAAGTTGGTGTCCTGCAGGTCAGCGTCATGTTCCGCGTACACGAGAATGGTTTTGAGTGCTCGCCGCAGCGACTCCTCGCTGAAGGTGGTCGAGGTGCCCACCAGGGACGATAGAGACATCGTCACTTGCATCTTCACTCGGCTGAAGTTCTGCAAAAGGAAAATTATTTTAACATTTAGGCGGCGGCGTGTGCGCGGGGCGCGGGGCGGGGGGGCGGGGGGCGGGGGGCGGGGCCGGTGTCAGTTTTTACGTTCCCCGAGGTGGCAGTGTAGTCGCATAAATGCAGCGGAGATGGCGGCGTAATGCGCGGGGCGGGAGAGCGGGGGGCGGGGCTTTTTCAGGATGATATTAGAATGGCACCTGCCTTGTCAAAGGTATACGCGGCAGGGAACCAGTGCGCGGGGCGGGGGGATAAGAATGAGGTCAGGGGCATCGGTGTCAGTACTCACGTTCCCCAGCTGGTAGTGCTGCCTCATGAGCGCGTAGAGCGCGGCGGCGGCGTGTGCGCGGGGCGGGGGGCGGGGGGCGGGGGCCGGTGTCAGTACTCACGTTCCCCAGCTGGTAGTGCTGCCTCATGAGCGCGTAGAGCGCGGCGGCGGCGTGTGCGCGGGGCGGGGGCGGGGGCGGGGGCGGGGGCGGGGTACTCACGTTCCCCAGCTGGTAGTGCTGCCTCATGAGCGCGTAGAGCGCGGCGGCGGCGTGTGCGCGGGGCGGGGGGCGGGGGCCGGTGTCAGTACTCACGTTCCCCAGCTGGTAGTGCTGCCTCATGAGCGCGTAGAGCGCGGCGGCGGCGTGTGCGCGGGGCGGGGGGCGGGGGGCGGGGGGCGGGGGCCGGTGTCAGTACTCACGTTCCCCAGCTGGTAGTGCTGCCTCATGAGCGCGTAGAGCGCGGCGGCGGCGTGTGCGCGGGGCGGGGGGCGGGGGGCGGGGGGCGGGGGCCGGTGTCAGTACTCACGTTCCCCAGCTGGTAGTGCTGCCTCATGAGCGCGTAGAGCGCGGCGGCGGCGTGTGCGCGGGGCGGGGGGCGGGGGGCGGGGGGCGGGGGCCGGTGTCAGTACTCACGTTCCCCAGCTGGTAGTGCTGCCTCATGAGCGCGTAGAGCGCGGCGGCGGCGTGTGCGCGGGGCGGGGGGCGGGGGCGGGGGCCGGTGTCAGTACTCACGTTCCCCAGCTGGTAGTGCTGCCTCATGAGCGCGTAGAGCGCGGCGGCGGCGTGTGCGCGGGGCGGGGGGCGGGGGGCGGGGGCCGGTGTCAGTACTCACGTTCCCCAGCTGGTAGTGCTGCCTCATGAGCGCGTAGAGCGCGGCGGCGGCGTGTGCGCGGGGCGGGGGGCGGGGGCCGGTGTCAGTACTCACGTTCCCCAGCTGGTAGTGCTGCCTCATGAGCGCGTAGAGCGCGGCGGCGGCGTGTGCGCGGGGCGGGGGGCGGGGGGCGGGGGGCGGGGGCCGGTGTCAGTACTCACGTTCCCCAGCTGGTAGTGCTGCCTCATGAGCGCGTAGAGCGCGGCGGCGGCGTGTGCGCGGGGCGGGGGGCGGGGGCGGGGGCGGGGGCCGGTGTCAGTACTCACGTTCCCCAGCTGGTAGTGCTGCCTCATGAGCGCGTAGAGCGCGGCGGCGGCGTGTGCGCGGGGCGGGGGGCGGGGGCGGGGGCGGGGGCCGGTGTCAGTACTCACGTTCCCCAGCTGGTAGTGCTGCCTCATGAGCGCGTAGAGCGCGGCGGCGGCGTGTGCGCGGGGCGGGGGGCGGGGGCCGGTGTCAGTACTCACGTTCCCCAGCTGGTAGTGCTGCCTCATGAGCGCGTAGAGCGCGGCGGCGGCGTGTGCGCGGGGCGGGGCTGCGAGGGCGGCGCAGTGCCGCAGCAGCACGCGGCAGGTGCCCGACTCCTCGCCGCAGCACGACCAGCCCAGCTACGCATCCACAATATTCACGCTTATTAGTAATATCAACGTACGGAGTGTGAGTGGAGAGAGTTACCACAGATATTTTTTACATGTTCCTGCTATTAGACTTATAATCCACCGTGTTATAGTCAGCTGACCTGTTATAGACTGGAAGAAAATGCGTGTTTCTTTTGTACATATATTTCATGTTAGAAGTTTTCGGCTGCCAGGAAATTCATTCAAGTCATCATAATCTTTTTCTGGCTCGCGATACCAAAAGATTTCCAATTCGTTAAACCTGAGTAATCATCTAATATGATAATTGAGTTTTTAACTACGAATGAGTACGTACCTTGAGTATGAGGGCACGGACGGAAGCGAACATGTGCTGGAGCACTGTAGTACTTTGGTTTCTCTGCAGAGCGCGCAGCAGCACTTGCAGCGCTGCGCTGCACACGCTCTGCCCACACTCCAGGCTGCTGCACGACTGCGGATAACAGCCATTACTTGTTAGTATTTATATGGAATAGATGAGTAGAAATCAAAGAAAATTTTGAGTAAGACAGCCTGGTTAAAACTGTGGATTAATAATTGTGTTTACAGATGACTGCTTAAATGTTATATATTTCATGAAAACTGCGCCTCCATCGCCCCCTCGCGATCCTCTTCAATTCAAACGACGATCGAAATTAAGACAATTACGATTAGACGAGGTCCTAACCCTACAGTGCCCTCAGACTAGTCGTATCCGTCAGGCAGCTTGCCCTTTAGCCGCTCCAATAGATCTTCCGCTGTTTGAAGTGCCATTTACACTCGCCCCCTATCGTTCAGTGAAGCTGTAAAGGCCAGCTTCAGCATTAGAATAGTTCCAAACCCCCTCGTGCCCCCCTGCGGACGGTGCGTACCTGCACGATGGTCTCGAGCGCGTGCAGCAGCGTGAGCGAGAGCTCGGCGTAGAGCGCGGCGGCGAGGTCGGGGTGGGGCGGGGCGGGGGACGTGGCCGAGTCCCGCGCCCCTCCCCGCACCCACTCCTTGCGCCACCGCTCGCGCCGGCACCCGCCTGCGGTGAGGACACAGCCTTATATGAGTACCGCCGGTGTTTCACGTTCAACGTATACATATTGTACAGTGCAACCATATATTTTCTTATTGTTAGTGACTGTCTTACTGTAGATATATGCGGGCGACCTTATGTCCTCTAATTATGCTCAAATATATCGAGCGAGTTCCCTATCATTATCAATTTTATAGTATATTCTTATCTTATCTTCTGAGGTATCTTGGAATTGAACTGGACGAAAATTTAAATTTCAAGAAACATATATCAATTACCGCAAAAAGAGTTAGAAAATTAATGTACACAATGAAATTATTGAGAGTCATTTCAGACAACACTACTCTGAAATTGGTATACTTAGCGTTGTCAGTCTTTAATAAATTATTGTCTACTAGCCTGGGGAGGTATTACGAAGTCCAATTTAATTCCTTTAGAAAGAGCTCAACGAGCTGTAAGGTTTCTCTAAAAAAACCGATCGACACGATAATTGTATAAAGAGGCTGAGGTCCTGAGCGAAATTGTTTGTAATGCCTTATGTGAAGAGTCTACCAACATACAAAGATATATTAAAGAAGAGAATCTATAAAGCTCCTGTGTCTATAAAACATCATTTGCTTCTCTTTCCACACATATACAATCAAATTTGCAAACTAATTGATATGAAACACTCTCAGCGAACAGTATACTGATGTCCTGGACATATGAGGACACTGAGAAAATACTAAAACCCGTAATATAAATTTAGACAATTCTGAAATATTCTAATGATTCTATATACAACACTTCCAAATAACATTCTTACTCACTCAAACACACACACACACACACTCACACGTACACACATACACACACACACACTCGCCGACTAACAAATACATATCTGTAATTTTTATTATTGTATTCTTTGTTTATTTTATTTTATTTTTTGTCATATATTACTAGTATTAATATTATATAAACACTAAATTTTTATATGCACTCTGATCGCCGTACCAATGTAACGTTAACTGTCAAACCTGGATATACAGGCATTGCCTAATAGTTACGTTAAGTTATATTTTATGAAATAAATGTTATTCTATTCTTCTATTCTAAATAGCGAAATTGATTACGTATGGAATTGGAACTAGCTTCCTAAATTATAATTATAATTATAACTGTAAAAATATTGCTATTTCAATGAATTTGTGGTTTTAATCATTAACCGCACATTCTTTTGGTCCTTCGAGCCGGATATGAACCTAAAAAATTAAAAAAGAAGTTACAGCAACTTATCATTGATCATTGTCCCACAGCGACCTCAGAGATCACCTTCTTCAGTAAGGGACGATATACCTTAATGGATTGAATTTAGTTGTAATTGTATATCGATTTCGCATTCGTTCTTCATTTGTTATTTGAGGCGTCAACACTGATATGAAAAACATCAGCTTTCTGTTTAATAAAACCTTACCTTTGCGTCTCATGATGAAATCATTCCGCGCCGAACCCTGCCCAAGTATGACGTCCTCCAATTTGGATTTTATGTCTGTTGTCTTCCGCACATTTTGCTGAGCGCACTTTAGAATTTCCTTCCGGCCCTTTA